CAGCTGGTTCCCAGGAGCTGCCTTCAGTCTCGGTCCACGGGCCAGCCTCAGTGGGCAAGCTGCCCGCCTCTGTAACCGGCGTGAGTAGAAGGGCTTGTTTGGGGTGGACTCTGAGGCCGTGCAGTGCCTCGACCGGCAGAGAGGAAGGGAATCCAGAGGGCTGTTCAGGGAGAGTTGCATTCGAGGGCTGTTTTCCTTTCTGCTCACACAGAGCTGCTTGGTGCTGGCGGTAGCCGGTGGCTAGAAGGAGCCCAGGAGCGAGAGGTTACAGTGCTGTGGCAGCATGCGGGAGCCTTGCCCAGTGCTTGAACCTGCAGCTCCACGGAGAGCCCCCTCTGCCCATACGTGGCGCATGGCGTCCGGCCTCAGCCCAAGCCCTGGGGGCCGATGCGTTGCTGCTGGAGCAGCTTGTCTGTCTGCCCTCATGGAGTCCTAGAAATGGAAGGGACCTCGCAAGGCCATCAAATCCCCTCGCCTGCGCTAAGCCAGGACCAAGTCACCCTAGACCAAGGGTTTGTTCGACCTGTCCGTAAAACCTCCAATGACGGGGATTCCACCACCTCCCTGGGAAGCCAGTTCCCGAGCTGAACTGCCCTGGGAGGTAGAAAGTTTTTCCTGATCTCTAATCTAAATCTCCCTGGCTGCAGATTAAGCCCATTGCTTCCTGTCCTACCTTCCTGGACATGGAGACCAATCCATCGCTGTCCTCTTTCTAACAGCCCTTAACATAGCTGAACGCTGGTATCCGGTTCCCCCTCAGTCATCTTTTCTGAAGACTAAACATGCCCAGTTTTTTAACCTTTCCTCGCAGGCCAGGTTTTCTAAACCTTTTATCGTTTTTGTTGCTCTCCTCTGGACTCTCTCCTGTTTGCCCAGAAATCCATGGGGGTGACCAGCTCTATACGGTATATACGCACAGCTGCACCTCTCCCTGCGCTCTACTGATGTGGAGATCAAACCCCAGCACCAGTCGTCATGTCTCTCTCATTTACTGGTGGTCTAAGACTGCCCAGTTGAGATTGTACAGCACCCAGCACGGGGGTGGGGGGAACAGAGTTAGTCTCTGCACTGAAGAGCTTACTATATAAAAAGACAGACAAAGAAGGGAGGGGAAGGAATCCCCCATGTAACAGGGGAAACTGAGGCACAGAGCGATGAAGTGTCTTGCCCAGCATCACACAGGGAGTCTGTTGGCACTATCTGGAACTGAGCCCAGAGCGCCAGAGTCCCAGACAGTGGGTTGTCCAAGCCCCTCTCCCCCACCCATCTAACAGAGGCCTGGCTAATAGAAAGGTTAAGGAACTGGGAATAGAAGCCAGGAATCCCGGCTTCCACTGCTCTGCCCCAACCACTAGGCTGCATCGCCCCCAGTGTGACCCACTGCTGTGATAGCCTTGCGACCTTGGCAGTGATCTTCCTTTCTGTCCCCCTGGCAGGCTTTGGACCCCTGCCCCCTACCGCAGGCCATGATTGTCTCTAGCATTGTCTCAGCACTGCCCAGCACTGGCGGGGAGATGACATCACCTTGTACCAGGCGGCCAGCTGGCACGTTCTGTCCTGCACCGGCTGCTGCATCCGCTTCTCTCGCCCCCTCCAGCCCCCTGCTGCACAGAGCCCAGGGAGTACGTCCGGTAAAACATCACCAGCCGTGGGCCGTATCCTCAGCTGCTGTAAATCAGTGCAGCTCCATCAAAGTCACGGGGGCAGTGCTGACTTACTCCAACTGGGGATTTGGCCCAGTAACCCAAATACTTTAGAGAAAGGCAATTGATGTGGGCTTTGCCAATCCAGGAACCAGTGCTAGGAATTCCCTGGTCAGCTTAACAACCAAAGCACAGGCCTTTTGTAAACGTAAACCCACTGGCCTGGCCATCTGTGGCTCCCATTGATACCTCTAGCAGGACAAGTGTTAGCCCCAGCGCTCGGGGCAGTGGCGTATTATTGCCTAGGCCGACAAGGCCTAGGCCTAGGGTGGCAAATTTGCTCTTGCCCCCTCCCCAACTCCGCCCCTTCCCCAAATCCCCGGACCGCCTCCTCCCCCAGGCGCGCCACGCTTCCCTCCTTCCACCTCCCTCCCAGGCTTGTCGCGCTGGGAGGGAGGGAGAAGCGAGTTGCAGCGCGCTTGGAGGAGGTGGAGCAGAGGTGAGCTAGGGCCCGCAGGCGCGGGAAGTAATGGGGGGCTGGGAACCGCTCCCCGACCTGCCCCAGCTCACCTCTGCTCCACCGCCGCCGCCATCCCCCGAGTGTGCCGCAACTCCCCTTCTCCCCCCCTCCCTCCCCGGCTTGCCGTGGGGGAGCGGAGGTGAGCTGATGTGGGGGAGGGCGGCAATTTTTTGACGGCTTAGGGATGGCAAATTTGTTAATCCGCCCCTGGCTCGGGGTAACTGCATCCTCCCCCTGCAGGCCCTGGACACTGTACCCCTGAAGCCGTGTGCTGTTCAGGTAGCTGCCGGATGTCGGGAGCGATCCCTGCTCACCTGCAAAGAGTACCGGGCTCTGGGGAAGGAAGGTGCTCTGAGAAGGTTGGGCTGTATTACCACGTGCAAAGCACGACCGCACATAGGTTGAGAAGCGCTCTGAGATCTGCAGCTGGTGGAACGTGCTATGTAAGAACACGGGATTGATACTAATGGTTGCCCAACCCTCCTGTAATACGTGGTTCGCCCCGCAGGTGTCACCATGGCAGAGCTCTTAAAACAGTGATTCTCAAACTACTGTCCTGGTGACCCCTTTCACATCGCAAGCCTCTGAGTGTGACCCCCCTTATACATTAAAAACCCTCTTTAATGTATTTTAACACCATTATAAATGCTGGAGGCAAAGCGGGGTTTGGGGTGGAGGCTGACACCCCGTAATAACCTCGCGACCCCCTGCGGGGTGGAGAACCCCTGCTTTCAAGAGAGGAGGCTGAGTTGATGCTATGCTCAGCGCTGAATGACTCCAAGCGGCTGCCAGCCTGGAAGGCTTAAGGAGATGCTTAGGGGACAAGAAGCGGGCCCCTGCCTTAGCCTCGAGAGGCTCCTTGCGGGCGCCCCGGGTAACTTTCCCTGCAGATTGATGGACGTCTTTTCTCCCACCCCTTAGACTGAGCAGCAGCATCTGCGGGGCCTTGGCTACACTAGGGATCCAGCCCACCCTGCGCAGCCTTCAACCCCTGGTCCAGTCTCCGGCTCTCTCTCAGCTTCTTGGTCCGGACTCCGGGCTCCGTCCAGCCCGTCAGCAGATGCAGGGAGCGGAGGAGATCTGGAAAGGCCAAGAGCTGCAGCCTCCTTTGATCCTGATGGGGGCAAACAAAGGGGCTGTTCCAGGCTCCATTAACTCTGGGGGCCGGTTTCTTGGTGGCTGCGTTGCAGGTGAGTTGGGGACAGCACAGGCCTTGCGTTGCTGGTGTTGGCTTGGGAATTGCATGACAGCAACAGACGCACGGGGGGAGTGGGGTGAGGGGAGGGAGATTTCCTGGGGGCTCCTAGGGCGAGAGGTGCCTCACACGCCTCTCTCACCATGACTCCCACAAAGTGTAACCCTCCCACCCCCGTGGGCAAGGCAGGGTCTCAGGAAGGCCTGTGACCCATAGTAGATCTTGAGCAAATGTTAGGCCAAAGCGGAGGGGCACCTCCCTGGGCAACTGTGAGGGGAAGGGAGCCTTGGAACGATCTAGAATCCCCCTGCCCCTTCAGCTGGGGTGGAGCAATGGGTAGACAGAGGAGAGCAGGTCTGTGTGGGGAGCTGGGATGAGACACGTCCCCTGCACAGGACGACAGACAGAAGCTGGGGCTGGGCCCGGGCCCAGCTGGTGTGCAGTGGTGGGAAGTATCCTAGCAAAGCAGGACAGGCCAGAGAGCTCAGCCAAGTACTTCCCTGGCTGTTCCGACAGCAGGCAGAACTCCTCTGCTGGGGATGTAACCTGAGCTCCCGAGGCTCTCGGAGATCACAGGTTCAAATCCCAGCCGGGCTGCTGCCACTATTCCTCCTCCTGAGAGATACAAATGGTATTGCCTGTCATTTCCCCGCTGTGCATGTGCGGCCACCGTGTCTGCAGCGCAGAGGGCCCTTGGCATGTCGTGGAGTAGGTGTTTACCCTGCTGCTCTTGTCCAAAACTTTCCTGGTCTGGTGCATGGTGCTGGTCAGTTGCTGCCGTCTTTCTTGTGCTGTCTGTAGCTTTGGGGTGCTAGCTATCCCTGTTGCTATTCTGAACCTGCTGTAAATGCAGGTTGGTGGTTTACAGCCTGTCTCCCCTTATCCCCAAGTGGTGCTGCCCTCAGCCCCTGGTGTGCTGCTCTGAAGCTGTGAGGAAGGGTAACGTGTGCCTTGGAGGAAGCGGGTTTAACGTGCCAGGATTTCCCTCTAGTGCATGGGGCAAAGGGGAGGCAGTTGATTGCATAGCAAGCTGGCAGGAGGTTGTCCCCTGGGCACTCCTTACATGGCCATTCTCATGTTGGGTGACTTCCATTTTCTAGGTGCTGTGAGGGGCCCGCTGCCCAGCGCAGAACAGAGACTCCCGTCCCAGCTGGCAGGAGGCGATGAGACCCGACAGCCGGTACCAGCCTTTCTGGGCTTCCCCCCTCACCTCCCCTTAGCGTTTCTGGTGGACTTGCCCTGTACCCCCGTGTGCACGCCCAGAGCCCAGCTCACTACAGGCTGTGCAAGAGTGAGTCCTGGGGCCTGAGGTTTAGGGGGTGAGAGGGAGCCTCTTTCCCAGCCAGCCCAGGGGAGTGAGAGGCTGGGAACTGGCTGGGAGTCAGTCCTAGGGCTCCTGTCTGCCAACCTCGAATCCACGCCCCTCCCTGGGCCAGCCCCACTCAGCCTAACCCTGTACCGGCTCCTGCTACAGCGCTTCCCCGTGGGCCTGGCAAGAGAGGCTGCTGGTGTGTGGAGCAAAGGCATTGTGATGACAGTGTAGACCTGCAGCTACAGAACAGCCCCTACCATGCCTGAAGGATCCCAAACCCCTTCGCTGCTCCCCGCCGGAGGGCAGGAGGAAGCGGAAACATCAGGCATCTGACCCAACCCCCCACCATTCCAAAGGGCTGGGCATCACCTGCAGCCTTGGTGTGTGATGTTCCTCTCAGCCTGTCCTTTCGCAGTTCTCTCCTTGGTCTGTACCCGGGGGCCAGCTGTAAGGTCTGTCCCTAGTCTACTTACTGAGTCTCTGCTTTGTGTCTCCGCAGCTTGCCCTCCCCAGCAGCCGCCTCCCTCCTCGTTAGCAGCACACGTGGCTGCCCCAGCGCTCCCGGGGGCTGGAGCGTGGGTCTCAGAAGGCAGTTTGCCAGCTCAGCTATCGGGGCTGCTCTCAGCTCCCCAGGCGAACGCCGCCTGCTTCATCGTGAAAGCTGAAGGACAGCCCGTGAGTGGGGAGGCTAAGGTCACTGTTCACCTCGGCTGGCCAATGACTTTGTGCTGCCCTGGGTAGGGCTAAGGCCGTCCAGCCCTGACCTCACTGGCTCCCAGCTATGCAGGAGTGCTCTGGTTAGTGATACGGTATCGCCGCCAGCAAGCAAATCCAGAGCGTCTGGCCCAAGGAGGGGTGTGTCCAAGGGCTAGTGTGAGAAGGCAGCTGTGACGAGTCCAACAGCCCTGCTGGTCCTGGGAATCTGTGGCCACCCTTGCAATCCCTGCAGCAAAGCTGGTCCTTGGAGCATCAGCCCCAGGGCATCCGCATTCTAACTGGTGCGGCTCTTGCCTTGTGAAACGGAGACCGGCTGGGTGCACGCCCGGGGCCCTGGAGCTGGAGTGTGTGAAAGCAGGTCAGTGTATGCCCCAGTAAGGTCTAAGCAGCCCCTGAACCTTTGTAAGTGGACAGCACTGCCCTGGGCAGGGGACTTGGCTCCTCATTCCAGGTCCCCTACGGTAGGACTGACTTGCCCTGGGAGAGAGAGGCCTCCTAGGCTTTGGAACTCTGTCCCATCGCAGCTTCCCTGTGCCTGCCCTGTAGGAAAGACAGGCCCGACTGGGTCCTGTCTCTAACCCATTGCTTGACCTGTCATCGCTGGCTGGGAGAGCCAGTTCCTGTTCCCCAAGAGTCCTGCAGCAGGGGCTGGCAGGCAGTGCAAACAGAGACCCAGCAGCTGGGAAGCTCGTAAGCACCTGCTTAAACTTTAGCCTGTGCACTTTCCCCAGGCACGGCTTTGCTTGCACTGCTGCTGGAGTTCTCCTGAAAAACACAACCCCCAAAGCCCTTGGTTCCTACCTTCTCTCTCCCGGGCTGGGAGCCCTCAGCCCAGACAAGGGGCTGCTGTGTTCTAGTGAAGCAGGAGACAGTTACTCTTGGCATGGAAGTTTAGACCACAAATGTTTATTAAGCATAACCCTTCCCGCCCCTCCCCAAGCCCTATGTATTTCTATATATTAATTCATTTGGCAGATTTTTTTTTTAAGGAAAAAAACAAGTACCTGGGGGGTTGAAATTCCCCCTTAAAATGACATTAGCAAATGCACATGTAAAAAATAAATAAGCTCATACATTCAAGTATATGGCAATTACATCACGCTTCCGCAAGCTGATTGGTCAGATTCCAGTTTGTGGCCGGGCCAAGCACTGCAGGGGCACAAGTCCACAGCTGGTCATGTTGCCTTAACAGCAGGAGCCTGGTGGGGTGGCCCCTCTGACCGAATACAATATAGGGAGCGATGGCCCCGCTGAACTGGTCCATCCATCCGGCAGTACTGAGGGTGAATTCTACCTGCTCGCACCAAGGACATCTACACACGTTAGCGCACTGGTGCCTCTCCCCAGCATCCATTCAGTTGGGCTAAGTGCCGCCGGGCTGAATTTCTTGCTGCTCCTGAGAGCGACAGGGACTCGGCCCTCGACCCAGGCATGGGCTTCGGGGAGACGAGCGGTAGCTGGAAGGCCCACTGAGGACGGGCACAGCTTGTGATTCATCCCTGCCAGTCCCAGCTGCCGCAGCAGTGCAAAGTGGCACCTCGGTACAGCGAGCCCCATTCTGTGTGAGGGCTCAGGGCTTTTGGGGGAGGGAGGGGCATTGTTTTTCAGCCTATTTGAAAGTGACAAGTCCCTACCAAAGTCAGCACCTTCCCTGTGCGCTCCTGTCACTTTGAAGAGCTGCTATGCTTAGCCCACACCATGCCTGCCAGGCTGGAGGCCTCTAGCGCCTACT